GCACGATACACAATTTTGAGCCGGGCTGCAAAATGGCGTTTTTGGCCTAGGCTCAGTCTAGGACCCAATCACACCATTTTTGGCCTGGCTCAAGCCAGAGCTTGTCCCACCCATTGCAACCCTGCTTAGAGTATATTTCAATCCACTTCCAACTGCCCTAAAGACATAGAGGACGCCCTAAGCAAAGACCGAAGGGATCATGGTATACATGTTCTTTTCATAATCGAGAAGCATGTCCAATGATCAAGATTAATTGGGACCACCTTATACCAATAATAAATGATCTCATTGTATACTTTTTCTTTTCCTTTTCACCGTTAATAATAGACCTACTGCAAAATGGAGTATTATGTTGCTGACTGGTAAAATTAATCTCTTCCCCTCTCTAGCCAAGTTTCATTGGTGATAGAATATGTGGTAATTTCAAATAAAATTCCTTAATAATCTTGTTTCTAAAGTTGTTTAGACGCTAAAGCCGGTCCAGCATTTGGAATGCCAAAACATCCTGTTCCTAAATTGTTATTCAGAGGTCTAGGCCGGTTTGGCTGTTAGCTCAAGTGTCGGACGGGCCTTGTTTCTAAATTTTTTTATAGGCTGAGGCGGGTCTGGCAAGTGGAACTACCTGAGAAGCATTTTTTTATTTATTAATGAATGTATACAATATGACCATTTATTTTTTATATAAAATGAAATGTGGTTTCAATACTGTAAATCTTTGTGATAGCTTTAAAATATATTGTCATATTTATTTATAAATTTTAAAGCTTAAAAAATAGTGTAGATCGACATATCTATAAAAACTTGAAAATCTTGAAAATTGATGGTCCAAAAATGCGTTGTAAAATACACTATTTCCAAAATTGAAAATCCATTTTTTTCTCATGTTCATGCATCTTGTTGTCGAGATGATCAATTTGAAGATATTTGGGCATCAAAATAACCTCTTCTAGTGAAATTTTTGAGGTAGGCTCAAATTTAATTGTTTAGAGCCCTGGATCTATATAAACTTGTCCCTTATATAATAATCCCTTTTAATAAAATAAATGGTTTATATAAGATTGTGACCTTATACAATGCACTTCAAAAATCCAGTAGAAAAGAGTGTTATGAAGGGAAACTATCTAATTGATCATCTCAACCTCAAGATGTATGAATAGTCTTTAAAATAGTACACATTGTAACAAGATATCTAGATCATCTATTTTCAAGAATTTCAATTGCTTATAAATAATGATTTGTACTACTTTTAAAATTTTAAATTACATAATTAGAGTTGAACATAGATTTTCAAGCCATTACTACCGAAATGCATGTGCTTTGGATGTGTTTCTTAGAAACACGAGGCGTAAAAAGAGTATAGTTGCATAAACGCTAAAAGTATATAAGAAATCAAATATTATGATTGCTATAATAAGATAAAATGTTAGTGTAAAGAAATAAACTACAATTAGTAAATGAAAATTCAAATATCATGCCTCCCAAAATGAGATATCTAGTTTCAATTAAAATATCTCACTGAAAAAATTGAGAAGAGATATTTGAAATGCTAATCTACGTATCTAACTCTTAGTTTAAGAATATTTTATATGAAGAAGCAAAATAAATAGGAAAGCTGAGATAGAGAAAATAGTAGCGATAGATGTCTTGAAGTAATTTATTTAAAGGCCGTGTGTCCTACAATCACTCTAAAATGGGGTCCCCTTTATTCTTCCTATATGTTTGAATAGAATTTCTCAGTATAGAGGGAGAAATACCCATACACATGAATATCTATATATATACTAAGGCACCTAAAAAAACTCCCATGCATGAATATCTATATATGTTAGAACACTAAAAAAATGAGAAACACTTAAATCAAATAGGATAGGTTTAGAGAGAGAGCAAACAAATTAGAAAGTTTTACTTTTTCTTACTCCCTATCTCTTCCTATAAAGTTCCTAAGAGGAATTCTAAAATATATAATTAAAAGATTTCCAAGAAGCTCTTGCAGACCTAAAATATCGCATTAAAATGTAGGAAGAGATATTGCTATGCCAATGTAGCTCTTAGCTTAATAATATTTTATTTGCTATAAGGCAAAAAAATAAAAGAAAAGGGAAATAGAGAAATGTAAAGAGAGAGGCCTTCAAGTCCTAAACTACATCATTTAAAGGATATGTACCGTACGATCGATCATATTAAGATTGAAGTTTGCCTTTATTCTTTCTACACTAATCCACTCCTTAACTGTAACTTAATAATATAATATACACTGATAACAACAACAACAACTACTAATTGATCATGTCCTTTGTATATAGCAGGTTAATTTACATAAGTATGACGGAAAGCATATTCCTAAATTTTGAACAAAGATGACATGTTCCTTTAGAGAGAATTAGATGACACTATTAGAGTGTAATATTCAAAAGTACTAAAAAAATGTAGGGCCCGGTCTCTTTAGGTATTAATTTTTTCTAATGCACATTATATTAGCATGTAATTTATAGAAATTATACGAAATCATAATTTACGTATAATGATAGGTTTGCCTGTTGTACAATAAAAGGAAAGCAAAAAAAAAAAAGGTACATTTTTACCTTAAAAAATACATATATACAAAGACATATATACATGCATATATGTGTGTGCATGTATTTTTACCCAAACCAATGAAAATGCAAACAAAAATTACATAAATTATAGAAAAATATCAGCTCTAAAAACCCTAGAATAATCTAAAAAAGAGATGTAATCCATAAAGAAGGAGCTTCGATGTGACCCCACCCACATATATAGTATATGTGATCCCTAGTCTCAACTGTAGATCTGAGTAGATGACTTAGACGACTTGAGTCACAATTTCACAAGCTAGCTCTTAACCGTCAGATATTGATTAGACGACTCATAGTTTTTTTTTATTTTTTATTCTACAAATAATTTTGAAACAAAATTTAAAGCATGCATAGATCTGAGAGGGATGCACATGATAAAAAAAATAATAAATATTTATTGTGATTAAAAATTATCGAAATAGCTCTGAATTATAGGGGCATTTTGGTTGTTTATTTTTATAAAAATATTTTTTTTAATTTTTTTATAGGTTTTTCCTAATCTTATGATGGGATGCCCAAAATTTCACCGAAAAATATTTTGTTGAAAAAAATAAAAAATAAAACAGTGTTTGGAGTGACATTGTTGTATAAATAATCGTAGCCGTTCGATTCAAGATCAAACGGCTAAGAAATGAACTCACATATAACTTATATGCTATTGGGGTGTTATAAAAACATTTTCCATCCATAAAACCCCAACAATAAAAGAATTTTAAACCACTTTGGAGAAGCTACACGTTTTCGAATTCTAGTAAGCCTTTGATAACATGTCTCCATTCCCTCGTAGGAAAGGCTATAGAATAGTGAGTTCCAAAAACCCTTTTTTGGCAATATTCATAAAGAAAAATTAAAATATATTATTTTAAATTTTTTTTTTTTTAAATTTCTAATTATAAAAAATGATTTGATAGGGTTGTAGCCCTATCAAAATAAGTCAAGCCCCACCTAATAACTCGTCGAAATTTGCAATTGTAATTCAAGTATTAGAAAATCTTTAAATTAATCATTTTAGCTTGAACATTATGGCTGTGAAAAATTGCAATTCAAACATTTGAAAATCTTTATATCGACCATCTTGGCTTCAAACATTATGGCTTGAACATTATGGTTGTGAAAAAAATACGATTTTAAGCTTTAAAAAATATATATATCGCAACAAATTGCCTAGACCGTTCATTCCATCCTAAATGTAAGTGCTCATAGATACATACCATTTTTTGAGTTTCGAATTATATTAGGGTTGAAATTTGATTTTAGAGCCATCATGAAAAATTCCGTTGCCAAGTTAGTACACCCTGCCAAGTATTTAAGAGGCGCGTGGCACTGAGCAACTTGCTCTTTATATATGAGTCTTGGGATATATTTTTAAATATGCCGCCCTTCTTTTTGAACAATTTTTAAGATGGATTTTAGACCTAATTTTGTTTAGATCTATATAATATCATCATTAATACTAATACGATAAAAAAATAAAAAAGATAATTTTATGGAGAATTTTTTAATTCTCTTATTTTAGGAATTAGGAGGGAGCAAACCTTTGCATCTATTTGGAAAAAGTTCATATAAGGTTGCAACCTTAAATTGTAGAAAAGAGACGTATCGAACACATATCGAAAAAAAAGTTGTTTTGATAGCGAAAAAAACTTTAATTGATTATCTTAGTGGAAAAAAAGAAAAGCAATTAAAGTATAAAAAATGTTACATCTTGTAATATATTATTTAGACCGTTAATTTTCAAAATTTTTATGGGTTTATAGATTTGCTTGCCATTTTTTTAGTATTAATTTCATAGTTAGATGCAAGGTAGTTTTTAAAGTCATTGTTAAAAATTTCGACACCAAAATTACATCTTCTAATAAGTATTGGAGGTGCGCCTTAATTGGATTGTTTAAGGTAAACTTACACATACTATTATAAATACCACAACCTGCCATTTTAAGGAGGAAAAAGTTTATATAGGGTTGAGACTCTAAACAATCAATTACACTCCACTTCAAAAATTTCACTAGAAGAGGTTGTTTTGATGTCAAAATATCCTCAAATTGATAATCTCGACATCAAGATGCATGGACATGAGAAAAAAAATGGATCTCAAGTTTTGGAAACTGTGCATCTTGTAACACATTTTTGGACTGTCAATTTTCAATATTTTCAAGTTTTTATAGATATGCTCGATGTACACTAATTTTGAAGCTTTAAATTTTATAATTAAAATAAAAAAATATTTTAAGGTTATCATAAATATTTCAGTATTGAAACCATATTTGTAGACACTCTTTGAAGGTGCGGTTTATTTTGATTGTTTAGAGCCTCGGCTCTATACAAACCACACCCTTTAAATAATAGATGTGCAAGGGACGCAAATGTAGAAATGCGTCCACGGCTTATTATATATAAAAGCTTAGGGTTTCTTTCAAACCCTAATCGTCTTGCAGGGGTCGGAGAGAAACGATACAGAAAGAGAGGCGAGAGATCGTTTGCAGGGAGTAGAGAGAAACGATACAGAAAGAAAGGAGAGAGAAGATGAGTGGAAAGGGTGCTTCTGTCCCTAAGGGCAAGAAGAAGACTTCGACATTCGTCATCGACTGTGCTAAACCAGTCGAAGACAAGATTATGGACATAGCTTCCTTCGAAAAGTTTTTGCAGGATCGTATAAAGGTTGGAGGGAAAACTGGGGTTCTTGGTGAATCCATCACTATTGCTCGCGAAAAGAGCAAGATAAGCGTCACTGCTGATACCGCTTTCTCCAAGAGGTATGTCTTCTCATTCTGAAATCCATAGGATTTATGGTGTTAGGTGAAATCCCTAGGATTTATGGTGTTAAGGTTTCTTATTCTGAAAATTGAATTGTGAGTGTTATCCTATTAGGGTTTTTCACTGTTCTGGAAAACTAGAGGTTCTTCCACATTAGGACCTGTTTAGATGAAAGATAAGGGTTCCAATCAGGTTTATAGGCCTCTGGGTTCTAATTGTTTCATGGGGCTTATGGTGGATCTGGAGCTAGGTTTATGTTTTCCCATTTGTGATGAATTATTCGGTTTACATGTGTGATTGTGTATTTCTTTTGAAGTTCATTATCTTATTATGCATGTTTGGGATGAATATACAGAAATGCTCGGTGTTCTCTGTGATTTTTGGGGTTCATTTGTATATTTAGGTTTTTCACGTCTTGTATTTATAAGTTTCGTAGTTTCCTATTTTTCTGCAACTAATGTAGTGGACACTAGCTTGTGGACTTGTAATGTTCTGGGTTTGCTCATTTGGATGTTCCAGGTAATTATTCAAGTGTATGATGTTGATAATATCTATTTTCAATCTAATTCTGTTTCCACAGGTGATTTAGTGGCATTTAAAGGCTTGATGCTAGCCTTTATAAACCCTTAGAATGCCACATCTGCTAGCAAAGTCTGGTTTTTGAGACTAGAGATGTATCGATGGCAACAAATAATTTCCTTTTAGCCTAGAATTGTGATGATCTCTAAAGAAAAACTTAGAAGTTGGAAAGATATATTTAATTTGTGGAACCTAAAAAATAGCAGTTTTAAGGTTTAATTCCTTAAGATTTACAAGATTTATATTGTTCTCGTATTCATGGTATTATGTGGTTCTTATAGTGTTGGACATTGATAAATTCTAATATTCAAGGAAACTTGATATCATCCATCTGTTTTTTTTTTTTTTTTTTTTTTTTTTTTGAGGAATGGTTAAATTTGACATCATCCATCTTAATTTTCTGGAAAATTTAAAGTTTGTAAACCATGAAAACTTTTGATGGTTATTAAACTTGCATTGTTGAGTTACTTCTTTCTGGTTTGTCATAGTTACAATGTGCTTTATAAATAATATATTATTGATTAGCATCCTAAAATTATTTAATACGGTTACCATTGACTTAATAGATACCGTATCTTTTGATAAGTGTTTTCTAGGACTAGACAATACCTTATATTGCCAACCTTATATTTTTGCAATAAGACGCACCTCAAAACTATGCCATAGGATGCTGTTTCAGTGCTTGAAAGCCCTATGATGGCATAAAAAACTATTGTCACCCCGAATTGTGAATTTTAAAGCTAAAAAAATGATGCAGATCTGTAAATAATTGAATGTTTTGAAAATGGACGGGCCAGATAATGTGTTACAAGAAGCACTATTTTCGCAATATTCATCTTGAGGTTGAGATGACCAATTTGAAAGTTTTTCAGCTTTGGAACAATCCTTTTTGATAGGTTTTTGAGGTGTGCCTTCAATAGATATAAACTTTTTCAGGGTGTACTATGAAGTAACAAATTGTAATATGTTATTTTAGTAATGGGAATTTAACCTTGCTAATTTTTTTTAATTATATTTGAAATTAAAAAATTTCCTCTCGACTCTTAGGTCTTGGCCTGAGGAGAGCTGCAGGGCATGGTTCTTGCGAGTGACCTTTCATCGAACTGCTTGGTAGCTTGGTTCTTTTGAGTGCCTTGTACAAAACTTAGTCAATTGTAGCTCTACTTTCCCTTGGTCTTCAATGTTGCGTGCCGTTGGATATGAAACTTTATATTATAGATAAAATTTTATTTTTTCCTTTTCAAGCTAGGAATTGGGTTGCTAATCTTCTGAGTCCCATGTGCATTTTATTTTTTCCTTTGCAAATGGTTCTGGAGTTTTAAGTGAATTGTAAAATATTTGTACCTGGAATTGCTCTGGACTAAATTGATATTTGTTGTGATGATTATTGTTTCACATCATCGCAGTTGGCTTGTGATGTATTTTTGAAATTTTGAATTGCCTTGTAGCTTAACTCAATTATTCTTTTGTAAAAAGTTTGTTTCAGGAGTTGCGTTAAATGCATTAATCTTGGTTGTGATGATTCTGATATCATTACTCAAGCCAGTCGTGAGATTGATGCAAAGTCTTTATTTTTCTAATATTTACTCTGTAAGAATTGTCCTTGTATATTGTCATTCATTTCCGTTTGCACAATCTATTATTATCCATTTGAATATTGCCATGGGTATATGAGAAAAGCAATAGAATGATATGCTGGGTCAAGAAAGAGAAACAAACAACCTAAGACTTCTGTCCAATGGGTCGCTATCAAATTGTGAATGTTAAGTCAGTATTACTCCCATTTCTACTCTTGGATATCCGCCAAAAGAAAGAAAAGTGTCTTTTCATATGTCCTTAAAGGCCTGAGTCTGTCAACTTTTTAGCAAGTATTATTAGTTTATATTACTCATTGAGTAACACATTTTTCTGCTTTCTTAATCGGAAATTTATCTCTTATTGATGACAGGTACTTGAAGTACCTCACGAAAAAATACCTCAAAAAGCACAATGTGAGGGATTGGCTCCGAGTCATTGCATCAAACAAAGACCGTAATGTCTATGAGCTTAGGTACTTCAACATTGCCGAGAATGAAGCTGAGGAGGAAGACTGATCCGTTCTCTCTTTTTGTTTCCTCAATTTCAGTCTAGTTTCTTTTTTTTTATTTTTTCCATTCGGTTTTTGATTTTGGTAGAGATATCAAACTATTTAATATGTCCAGATACTGGTTTAGGTACACTAGCCAAATTTCATCCGGGATAAGAAGTTGGAATTTAATCTTTTTTGGTTTGAAATATTGGTTATGCAAAACACTCAAATAGATACTGATGTGCACACTATTTGATCATGCTTTGTGTCCCTCTTCCCTTTAATGTTTTTCCTTGGTTTGACCATACTTCGAGATTTTCAGATATTCAACACCTGCTTGCTAACAGGTGAAAATGTTTTGTTTCCCTGCATGCTGCAATGATTAATTTATTTAATCTTCTATTTTCCTTGTTGGTGATGATGCTCTGGTGTTGATGCCAATCACTTGTTACACTTTCCCTGGACTATAGTGGTGTGCTGTATATACCTTCATGGTGAACCATTGGGGAATGTATTGTCATATCCCAAGGATTGTGCTGTATATGCCTTAATGGTGCACCATTGGGGAATGTATTGTTGTATCCGAAGTCGCTGAAATTGATATTGATTTTTGCCTGTGATTATGAAATTGAAATCCGAAGTCGTCGTATTGTCATATCCCAAGGCGTGTGCTGTATGTGCCTTCATGGTGCACCATTGGGAATGTATATACCTTCATGCCTTCATGGTGCACCATTGGGGAATATATTTTTTGTTTTTTTTTGTTTTCTGCTTATAATTGTTGTGAAGGTCAATTCAGGATTGTTTTTTTTTTTTGGGGAGTTCTAGTGAGAATAGAGCCTAGCTTAAAAAAAGCTTATTTCCTTCTTATAATGAAATGGGGCTTGCCAAAACTACTCCTTCCCCAAAGTTCTTCTACGGTATGTTAGAGCCCGGTGATTTTTTAGGAAATGGTGATTTTTTAGGAAATAGGTGTGGGTCTTGGTGGTAGTACCTCGAGCTTCATAATGAAGTATTGACCACCATTCTGGCCGAAAGCTCAAATTCTCATTGATTTATTCAAAAAAAAAAAGAAAAAAAAAGAGAAGTCGATGATATCTGCTATTGGAGCTTGATAATGATTCCATTTTGACCAAAAAGTAGTGACCTAAATTATTATTGACTTATTGCTGTTAAAAAAAAAACCGCTGATTTTTGCTCTAGATTGTTGCTTTGGATGGAAATTGGTCAAGATTGATGATTTTCGCTCTAGATTGCCGATCTTGATGGAAATCAAGATCAAACCAGTTTCGGTATGGTGTGGGGTTTTTGCCTTGACTCGATTTTACATATTTTTGCTTTTTTTAAGCTTAAATCCTCATTTTGTAGATCTCTATTTTAATATATTGAATCACTTATTCAGATGTTCTAGACCTTTAATGATCCTGCCTAAATGTGTGGGAGAACGATATGCTCCCATCAATTTGGGTTTTAAAGCGTGCCTCCAAAAAACAATCTCATTCAATGTTATTTATAATTTATTTTTATATCAAGACGTCAGTTCTATTGTTATTTTCACACCATGAATAATGGTGCTTTCCTTATATATATATATAAATATAAGAAGTTGTATCAATGTTGAAAAGGCTCCTAATTGATCATCTCGATGTATGAATACGAAAAGAAGTATGAATATGAAAAGAAAAAGATTTTGAAACCTATAAGTAGTGCATTTTGCAATACATTATTTAGATCATTTATTTTCAAAATTTGTATACATATATAGATTTATTTGATATTAATTATTTTTAGAGCTTAGAATTATATATATATGAGTAATGATTAGACCCTCTCACACCTATATGTGTAGGACTTTAAAAGATCGCCATTAAATTTGGTACAGATCATTAGATAATGAAAAGTTATCACATGTGTAGGAGTGCTTCATAGGATCATTACTTTTATATATATATATATATATATATATATATATA